AGTAATTTTAATTAATTTTTGGAAATAAAAATTTAGTAAGAATTTAATAAAATCTAATAAAGAATGTACCAAATGTGATGGAAGTTACAAAGCTTTGCTAGCTTTATACGTCATTGTAAGTCTATTACAAGAAATAACAATTTCCCATTGGTCAAATATTTACAAATTAGTTTTCACTTCCACCGTTAGGTGGTACTATTAAATTTTTTTTTAAATGGTAGGCAAAGGATTAATATATATATTTTATTCGACATATTTTTTCAATATTAAAAAAATCGAGATTAGGAACATTTGCCAATTTATGTAATTTATTTGTATAATGTGTTAGATACAGTAGACAGTAGGCAGATTCTTCTATCCCTCTATCCTTTCGTCGTGGTTGCTCTGAAACAAATCTTGTTTTCTTTTTTAATTTCAATAAATTTGAAAAAAAAAAAACAAAAAAAAACAAAAACGAATTAGAAAAAAAAACACTGAAACGGCACCGACCATTCTTCACTTTTTTAAATTTGACACAATTGTTTTTGCAGTATTCAAGATTTGGAAATCGCATTCTTCCCTTTTTAATATCCGTTACTTTTTAAAAATTGAAAAACCAAAAATGGCCACAGACCACCGAGAACACTAATTGCACAATAATCTAAGCAAGATGAGAAGAATCTTCTTGACAAAACAAAGAAAATCACATCACCAAATTCACGATCAACTTCACGAGAAAACTTGTGTTTAACCCATGCGACTGTATGTCAAGTCACAGCATGCATTTTTTTAGTGATATAATTAAACTTTTCTACATAACAATTATTTTCCTTCTTTTGATACCACTGAAATTAACCAAAATATTTCTTCTTGAAAAATTTTCTTTTTCTATTAAACAAATTGTTACATCTTTAAATGCCACTGAAATCATTAACGCATCTTCCTGTTAAATCATTTACATTTCTAATGTAACAATCATTACTTTCATTTGACGCCACTGAAACTTTGGTAGGTGAAGTAGGAATAATGAACGCATTGACTCAGCGTAATGGTCATCTATTTGTTGTTCCGACACTATTGTATTATTAAACCACTGCACCTTTGGTTGCGCCATACTGTAACGCACTTTTAAAATATTATTTTAAAAGAGCGTCACAGTGTTGGTCGCCAAGCACAAACACTTGGATTTTTTACATTTCACTGTACACGTTCTGCTTTTTTCTTCTATGCTTTTCAAATATTCATCACCAAAACACTGTCCTTTCAAATTCTGTCCTTTTTCACTGGGAGAAAAGCACAGAGAGCTATTTTAGGATGTTGTCCATTCACTTTCTTTAGTTCACTTTTCAGAACACGTCCGCACAATTCACTTATATAATTATTGTATGTATATATCACACAAATAATTCTACATAATCATAAAATGCAACTTTACAATTAACTACACTTAATTACTGTATCAAATATAGTTTCAACCAGATCTTTCATATTCTATCTTTATCTTGATTAAGATTCATGTTTTCATACAAAATGTTTCAAAGAAGGATCAATGTGAAATTTGGAAAAAAAAATATAAGAATTTGTAAGAATTTCATTTGAATATGAAAGAACTGTACATATGCGCATCAGATTATATAATTATAGTACAAACTAAATCTAAGATTCTTATGAATTACCTGCGATGATTAGGATAACTTAACTGTTTCCTTAGAATTTAATGAATTCTGAATTGCTTTGTTATTATATGATATACTTCTTTAAGTAATGATGATAATTAGGGATGCATATTTAATAGTTAAAAGTATTATAATAGGAATTGATTAAACTATCCCATTGAAAATTAAAATAATTCTTTATGTAGAATTTTTTTGTTATTATTATTGTAACTTAATTTTCTTTAAGCAATTCAGATTCATAGTAATTTACTTCTTATGCATATACAGGCTTGTGCGTCTAGTATCCTATTTAATACTTTTAAATATTCATAATGTAAAAAAAATTATGCACAAAAATTAACCTAATCTGAAAAATTAGTACTGTAACAATTACTTAATTTTTTATCTATGAGATATGATTATTTTTAATTTTTTAAATTTGTAATTTATATCATTTTATTTT